CTTTAGGTAACCAAAATTTCCCTTATCTCAATTCATAACAGAATCTAATATTCAAAATACACATTTTATCTATTTGACTATAGTCTTGTTCTATTTACTAAAAGTTATCTATTTCCCACCATATTAAATCATCTATTTAATAATACAATATCCCCTTTAATAAATCAAAACCATTATATATATTGCCTGGGTTAATCAATAAATCAAACATATTTGTAATATTTTTTTCTTTTAGGTCTAACTTTTAAATATTAAACAGAAAAAATCCTTATTTTCAACTAATTTCCAAATATTTTAAATCTAATGACCAAAATTCCCCTTATCTCAACTTCTCCCTTTAACCCTCTAATTAATAATATGAAATCCCCTCTAATAAATCAAAACCCCAATTTTCTTCAACCTTATTCTGGCTTTCTTCCTTTGCCAACTAGCCTTCCATATCAGTGTTTTTAGATTGTCAAATAGATCTCCCTTTATTATTATATAATTTGAAATAAAGGTGACCATTTAATTGCCATTTTTTTGGAAGGGCTAGCGCATTTGTATTCATTAAGTTGTCTCCCTATTATTCCAATTCCCATTATTGCCCTGATATGTTTATCTTCCATTCAATGTGTTCTTCTTCTTTCTCAAATTTCTTCTGATTTATATAGAAAGTCTTTTCCATTTTCAGTGTTGTCACTCCTTTTTCTGGATTTTCCATTAACAGTATTTGTTGGTCGGTTGAGTCCTCCGTCTTAATATTTGATTGTTCCACTTCTTCTGTTGTCTTCTGCGTTGTTAGTTCTTTGGTTGTAGTCAAAGTTTGGGTTTGTGTATCTAAGCTGGCATCTTGTTCTTTTATGTTAGGTCTTATTTTATCACAAGCTGAAAGAATGATTTCATGTATTGCTTTCAATGTGGAAAGGATCTTTTCCTGGTCTTCATCCATATTCTTTTAATAATGTGTTAAATTGAGGACTTTAAAATCAGACGTTAAAAATATTTTTATAATTAGGTATGGGACCTCTCTTTCATGTTTTTATAGATAGTCTTTATAGTAGAAGTCGTTTGTCAAGCAAGATTTTATAGTCAAAGGTCTTTCATCATCTCATATAGTAACCAGTATTCCTCAAATAAAGAGATAGGAAGGCAGTTCCCCACATATAACTCTGAAAGTCAATACAGGTTTACATTCATAGTTCAAATAGGCCAGTTATGCCACCCAGCTGTTCTCTTTACAGCTGAGTTTCTCACAGGTGGTGCCATGGTCAAAAGAGTCTTATCTAAAGTCTGGGCTTTGAACCAAGTCTCTTTTAGGAAATACCAAGTTGTAATACCAAACCTCACCACAAGATGTCACCAATGCTGTTTAAAGTTTTTTAAGTCCAAAGTTTTTATAATCCTTTTTCCAATTTTATTTCTTTTGTGTAGATAAAAGCAAAAGTCTCCAATAAAAATAAGAAAATTTTTGGTCCCCAAGTTTCAGGAACATATAAATCCAACTAGATTAAAATTGTTCTTTTAGTGTTTTAATTCCCCTGGATAGTCAGTCGCCGCTATTCTTAGAGGGTAGGATAGAAATTCCCTTCCCTCTCTCCTCACAGGGGGAAAGATACTTTGGGCAGCTTTTACAGGGAAAAAAATACTTAGGATAAAGAGAAGATCGGATCTCACCCAGTTTCATCTGCGTTGCTTTTGAAGTGCTAGGTGGTGAGTTTGACTTCAACTGTCTGCAGCCTAGTGACGAGCCATATTACTATGGCCAGTCTTTCCTCTGCCGGTTTGGAGGGCTGCCCTGGATCGAGCGGAAGGGCTGCTGCCCTCCTCTGATTAAGCGGGGGTCCCCTCCTTGCTCATCACCCCTACAGGGCAACTTTTGACCCTTTCCAGAGTCCCCCAGCGGAGCGAAACCGAATGATTTCATTTGGCATGATCCTTTTTTCACGAACCATGTTGGCTACTGGTTATAACTTTGTTTGCTTGTAAGTGTTCACAGATTTGTTGCTTGATTATCTTTTTCAAGATCTTCCCAAGTATTATGTCAGGCTGATTGTGGTCTGTAATTTCCTGGATCTCTTTTTTTTTTTTGAAGATGGAAACTACATCAGCTCTTTTCCAGTCTTGTTTTTTATGTGTTGAAATAAATTGCTTTTATTGTTTTTAACATTTGTTGCCTTACTTTGTTCGAAGCCTTAGCTTTCCTAACTTCATCTTTGCAGGTTTGGGCTATTGTTGCCTTAGTCATGTGTCCTTCTTTCCATTTTTTGTACTTATCCTTTTTTTCTCTCTCTCCATTGGTCTGAGAGTTCTTTATGTTATCATGCTGGTTTTTCTTGGTTTTCTTTTTTTTCTTTTTTAGTGGTATTGAACTGGACTTGGCTTTTATAATTGTATTTTTCAGAGTTTTCCAAGCTTGTTGAGTTGATTTCCCCTTTCAGATTTTCATCCATGTAATCCTTCCCATGCTTTCTCTGATTTTGTTAAAATCAGCTCTTTTAAAGCCGAAGACACTGGTTTGATTATCTTCTGTTGCTTGTGTCTGCTTTATATTGAATTCTAATACGACCTGGTCACTCTTCCCTAAAGTTCCTGCAAGTTCAATTCCCTCTATCACTTCTTTGCTGTTGGTAAGAATAAGGTCCAGTATAGTTAGTTGCCTCCCCTACCTTTTGGGTGATGACGTTGTCAGCTAGGTGGGTCAGGAACCTGTTTGATCTCCCACTTGTTGCAGAGTTTGTCTCCCAGTTGATATCAGGTTAGTTAAAGTTCCCCATTACTATTGTGATGTGTTTCCTACATGCATTGATTAACTACATTGGTTTTAAAAGGAGTAATCATAAATTATGATAAAAATACCACTACTAATACATTCCAATAAATAAATAACTTAACAGAACCCTTGAATTGCCTGCTTATTATACCTTTTCAGATTTCAGACAAATAAATATATTCTTTGTTCATATTACAGATAAACAAAATGCTACTTATTTTCTGACACAATAGAAAATATAATATAAACTGCAATTATACATCAAAGAAAAAATAAAAGCTTATTATGTCATTTTTTTGGAAAAACTGAGGAACTGAGATAGGGGACTAGCAATAACATGTGTTTTTTACAAAGATCAGTGTCTTGAGTAAAGCTGTGCACAAAAAATCAATTTGCACATAAAGTTTCTCAGTTTTCTGGGAGATGAAATAACTAATATATAGAGAAGGAAAAGGAAACATTTCTATTTATATGTTTTAGTTAAACTTACACTTTTTGAGACCTATGTTGCTGAAATACTTACTGTACATTCTTATCTATGCAAATTAATTCAAAAGCAACTACAATAGTGAAATATTTTAAATTCCTTGACAGAAAAAGAAAGAAAAGTAGTATTACAGTTGATCAAAAAAACTTTACTGATGTACTTTTATCACATTTTTTGGAAATGTTGCCTAGGATATGTTGAGAGACAGATTTGTTTGTGGAGTTGTTGCTATTTCAAAACATTTTAGTAAATAAGGATTTTATGAGTGTGTGTGTGTGTGTGTGTATGTATGTGTGTGTGTGTGTATACACACACACTTTCTCATATAAAGTATGTATGTATATGATATATAATGTATATAATTATGTAAATTATTACGGTAGGTAAGTGTTACAGAAATAGTAGTAAAAAATTTATAAGATTGGCAGTTAGCAGAAAAATAAAAAACTTATTACTCACTTTGAGTCCATAAATCAAGGTCATAACTCACTAAAACTATGAAATACAGTGAGATATTTAGCTGTAAAAATGTACTAAACCATAATTTATAGACATTCAATAATCAGTGGGCCATTTAATAACTAGGGTATACACAGTGTAACTTCAAAATGGAATTGCATTGAGATATTTATAAAAATACTTGTTTTTGCAGGGAATGTAAACATTCTTCAAATCCAGGTAGTCCTCAACTTACAACCACAGTGTAGCCCCAAATTTCTGTTGCTAAGCAAGACAGCTGCTAAGTGAATTGTGAATTAAGTGAAAAGGTTGGGGACCACTGTCCTCTAGGATACCCTTTAGGTTATTAGAGAGGCAGTTTGGTGTAGTGTTTAAGGCATCAGGTTAGAAACTTGGAAACTATGAGTTCTACTCCCACTTTGGCACAAAGCCAACTGGTCACCTTGGGCCATCACTTTATTATTCTTATTCCAGCTGATTAATTACTAGTATGATCTGAAGCATAACTATTAAGGCCCTAAATATCTTGATTCTATCTATAGCTCTGTTTTCCAGGCATAAAATAATAACTCGTATTTTACTAAGTGTTTTGTTAATTAGCTTTCGGTGTTCTGAACTGGTATTTCAATATATTATTTTATATATTTATGTCTATCTAGATATAGATATAGATCTAGATCTAGATATATTTAAGGTAAACTTTTTTGCCATCAGTTTAGGTACTTTTACTAGAAAAACTAAATAATTGTTTAAAATCAATACAATAGTGGAGATTTCCTGTTCTAGACATACGTTTTTATATTATTATTATTGTTATTTCAATATGTCAATTATAATATTGATTCTTGTTTCATTGTATCGGGCAGCTTTCATGGATGGATAGATGGATGGATGGGTGGGTGGGTAAGTGGATGGGTAAGTAGGTAGGTAGGTAGGTAGGTAGGTAGGTAGGTAGGTAGGTAGGTAGATAGATAGATAGATAGATAGATAGATAGATAGATAGATAGATAGATAGATAGATAGATAGATAGATAGATAGATAGATAGGTAGGTAGATGATAGACAGACAGATAGATATTCTGCTTTTAACAGATGGCAGCATTACTGCCAAGAAAAATCCATGGACACATATCTGAAGTCACCAGGAACCAAGCTTGTCTTGAAAAAGGCTGTAACTTTCTAAAGTACTGCAGTCATAATATTTTTGAATTAAATGAAATATTAGCCTGGATGTTCCTACGCTTTGGAATCATTATCTATGTTACTCCAATTTTTAATCTGATTTTTATTTTCATTTTTCAGGTGTAGCAACCGGACCCAATGTGCAGTGGTTGCTGGCCCAGATGTGTTTCCTGACCCTTGTCCAGGAACATACAAGTACTTGGAAGTGCAATATGAATGTGTCCCTTACAGTATGTATTATTATTACTATAGTAGTTGCTATTATTGTTAGTGGTGTATTATTGATCTGAATACCAAATTGCTATAATTGTTGGCTTTCGGTTTTTTAGGTTATTTCATGCTCACATAAGTGTCTTCTGACAAACTGAGCAATGGTGTGATAGTAGAGAAGTTGACTAACATAGAATTGTGGTTCTCAACAGAAAGCCATCAAGTTCCGTTTCCCCATCCCCAATATTTTTATTTATCTCACAGTAATTATAGCCTTATGAAAAGTAAATGGAATCTTAAGTTCTGAAGCAGTATACAGGTAGTCCTCAATTTACGACCATTTGTATAAAGACAGTCCAAAGTTACTACTCTTATGGCTTATAATACATTTCTGACTGTCACAAAATGTTGCGCGCACACCCTTTCGGCCACATGATTGCAACTTGGATGTTTGGCATTGGCTCACATTTATATCCAATTGCAGTGTCCCACAGTCATCTGATCATGATTTGCTTTTTCTTTTGCTTTTTTTGCTGGTTTCTGGGGAACGTTGATTCAAACGAATGACAGCATGTTAATGACCATGTGATTTGCTAAATGGCCACAGTGACTCTCTTTAGGACCATTTAAAAATGGTCATAAAATTAGATCTGGTCACATGTTGATTCAACCTACGACCGCAGTGACTTACAACCAAAATTCCAGTCCCAGTTATAAACTGAGAACTTCCTGTATTCCATTCCAATTTCTGAAAGAGGACAAACAAGGAAGATTGTTTCCATATTTTCTTTTGGGATCCACAGATAGTCCTAGTTTAGCAACCACAATTGGGATTACAATCTTACTTCAGCTTTCCTTTGATTTATAAACCTGTGAAGCTCATAAATGTGAGGATTGGTCACAAAGTTACTTTTTCATCATTGTCATTAACTGCAAACAGTTGCTAAAGGAGGCAGTTGGTAAATGTGGACTACCTGTGTTGAAAATTAGTTGAGAGACAGATAAAATTTTGGTCTGTTTCAGCACTCTTTTTCTTATATAAAAAGATGGGAACTTCTGCAGTACTTAGCATGAATTTGTAGTATAATTATTGCTTGTAGTTTAATTATTGCTTAATTATTAATAAAATCTATCTTTTTGTTGTGACATGTATGAATATATCATTTCTGCACTGCTCTTCTATAATTACTCTCAGAACAATCCTCCCATACCTTCTTTTAGTGTAACACAATTTCAAACATGTAATGTTTGGACAACTTTGCATTTACTCCATCACACTTGTAAGATTTTCATAAAAGTAAACTTGAGAACTGTCTTTCAGATTATACTGTATTATTCATCTACCTAAATGAGCATAATAATACTTGAGAATATTTCGTAAAATGAAATGTTTCTGAAATAAGTAATATCTAAGACATTTTTAGGCTGAAATCTTATCCACCTGCAAATAAGGCCCATTGATTTTATAGATTTTATTTCTTAGCAGCTGTGCATAGGATTAAATTGTTAAAAGAGCATTGCCATTGCTAGAAGAGAAATCATTTAAAGATTCTCAGAGTAGAGTAATTTTGGGAAAAGGGAAAGTGTTTGAAGAATGATTAATGAATGAAGGGAGCAGATCTGAGTAGAAAACTGAATAGATATGTAAATAGATTTTTGGTCATGCCCATTTTTGGCAATTTTACTACTAAAAGAAATTGCATCATTCCCACAATAATCTGTACCCAATATATATATGATCGGTCTGTCTGTCTGTCTGTCTGTCTGTCTGTCTGTCTGTCTATCTATCTATCTAACAGGGTTGGCAAAAGAGCTAATAACACCTTTTAAAATGGTTTAAGTGTTGTTTTACAAAAAGTTCAAATCATCTTAATTTAATTCAAATACTGGATAACACACTCAGTCGCATTCACTTAAAATGCCCTGTCCAAATAAATTCATCTTTATTATGGCTTAATATGATAAGCAGCATTACACAACATTCAGAGGTAAATATGGGTCCTCACAATAAGATTGACTCAACTATCCAACCTCATTTTAATCTAATCTAATCTCATATTTTGTACAAATCTAAGGTCTTGAGTATCTTTCCAAAAGGCAGAGTAGTAGGGAGTTAGATTTGATTCCATAGGTTAGGAACAATGCAAGAAAATGTTCTCTTCTATGTATCAACAAACATATTTGTGCTGTATTGTGCCTCCAAAGGTAAATGTATATTTAAGAGGATTTCTTTTGCTGAAGTTAGTGTCCCTTCGACCAGTCCGCTCCCACAGAGAGGGCCTCCTTAGGGTGCCGTCGGCCAGTCAATGCCGGCTGGCGACCCCCAGGGGGAGAGCCTTCTCTGTGGCAGCTCCTGCCCTCTGGAATGACCTACCCCCCGACCTACGTACAACTGCGCACCTGCGCCTCTTTCGCCGAGCCTTGAAAACCCATCTATTCCATGCGGCCGGCCTGGCGTAGTTTTGATTGTGTTTTGGTAGGGGTTTTTATATGGGGTATTTTAGAGCAGGCTTTTTATTTAATATTTATTGTGACTTTTATTATCGCCTGTTCACCGCCCTGAGTCCCGTAAGGGAGATAGGGCAATATATAAATTTAAATAATAATAATAATAAATTAATATTAAAAATCTGGCCCTAGTTGGTTAAACCATGAACCATCTAGTGCAGGGGTGTCAAACTGCCGGCCTGCAGGCCGGTTTCATCATACTGAAGCCGCAACCCACCCCATTGCCAGCAATACAAAAAGAGTTGCGACACGTCACATGACGTGGCGAGTTTGACACCCTTGATCTAGTGCTTTAAAGTTTAGAACTAAAATCTTCAACTGTTTTGTATCTCTGAAGCACTGGAGATCAGGATAGGTTTTTCAACTCAGACAGTAGTGCTAGCTAAAGGGAGAGTCACTTTGGTGACAAACAGATTCGTATCCTAGATCAATTTATGGCCTTGAATTCCTTGTTTGTTGCCATAGTAACTAAGAATCTTTCTATTTCTTTCTTTTTAATGCTGCTTGCTGGCAACCCTGAAATAACAACCCCACAAAAAATAAAGAGGCAACCATCACCACCACCATCCCTCTCAAATAATGCAATCTCCTGTTATTCTGGGTGTTTAAATACTGTGATCTTTTCACCTTCAAATGATTGATCATAAATAACTAAAACAATCTGTTCTCTCCTTGTACAGCAGAGTACTGTACTTGGAGAGATAGAATTTGTCAAAAAGAAAAAAAATATTTTTTTTAATTACTGGTCTTGGGGCAGTTGTCTTGAAAAGTTTCTAGAGAAGTAACTTGCTAGATGCTAGCATTACATAAAATTCTATTTGACATATCAAGATGCCAACTTTTTTCTTATGTCTACTCTGGCAGTATTATAACAGGATGAAACAACATCTTCCAGAGCATCACAAGATTGTAGAATGACTCATTTTCACACTTTACATAGCCTTCCATAGTCTCCAGTACTGCACAAACCAGCCAGTTTTTGCACACTCAAAAATGTCACAAAGCTGTCATGAGAAATATAAATACCAAAACCAGCTGATTAGAGGGGATAATTTAAAATCTCCTGGCAGACCTTTTCTTCCAAGGGGTCCCCAACATATATTTGTTATGATGGATTATCAGTAGTGAACACCCTGACAAACCACAGACTGTCTGAATAGAGAGATCCTAGCCCTTGCATCTATTGCTTGCATTGCTTGTATTTTTTATTTTATTTATCAAATTTAGGAACCACCCATCTGGCCACACAAGCAGCATGCAAAACTCCATTTGTGCAAGCAGTGGGCACCTTCACACATGAAGCTCCACTTGTGCAAGTGGAGTTTTGTGTGCAAGTGCATACACACCTGCCACTTACACAAAACCATCCCCTTTTCCCCCTGCCACCATTGCAGCCACTGCCAGCCAGTCCACAGAGCCAGAAAAGTTGGAGACCACTGGTTTAGAACACTGTTGTGCTATGCCAAAGGTGGGATGTTGTCATATATGAAGCATAGGACACACTGATCCTATTCAAATGCTAGGTTCCATGAGGGATGTCTAAAAACCAGGAATGTTCACAGGACAGATGAAGAGTGAGGATGGCAAACAGAGCATTAAGATGTAAACCTCATACATTTTGAACATGCATTCATATACAAAAGCCGCAGTGTTGCATTGCGATGTTGCATCCTCCAACACTGCCCCTTTTTCTACTCCCTGCAAATGTTCCTGGAAAAAAACAGCTGATCATGTACAGATAAATCATAATCTTACCAAAGGTTTGCATCTAGAACCTACTTATTTCAGTGTAGACACTGAACTATACTTGTGGAAGCTGGCTTTTCAGTGAAGTCACCAGTGCAACTTCATTCTGCCCCTCATGTGTTGAATTTTATCCAAAGAGTAAATGGCCCAACAGCTACTGTTTTTCATGTCAGTAGTTATATATGAAATGAAGAGTTATAAATACAGTTTTCAATGCAAAGCAGAAGAACTAGAATTCATCAGAAGAGTTAGCCTCATTTCTGATGTGCTGTGCGGAATGGGATAACTCGCCATGGCCATCTCGCCATGGCCATCTCACCATGGCCAACCTAGTGCGACCATCTCACCATGGCCATTTTGCTGTGGCCACATCGCCACAGGACAATTCACTGTGGGATAGTTCCACGTGGGATAACTCAACATGATAAATGTTATCTGCCACTGTTTCTTCAACATTATTTCCATTGACAAAAATGGAAATAATGTTGAAGAAACAGTGATGTATAACATCTATCGCATTGAGTTAAACTGTGTGGATTGTCCTGTGTCAAGTTGGCTGTGGCGAGTTATCCCATGGCGAAATGGTCGTGTCAGGTTGACCGCGGTGAGATGGCCATGGCAAGCTGTCCTAGACCCTGCTGAATTTGTAGCAGGGGTTCTTATCAAAATATAGTTTTCATAAGTCATCTGGTACAGTAATATCTTATGTCACATTTTATAACTATTTTAATTGTTAAATATTTCAAAACCTGTTTTGTTCTTATTT